CAAAAATATAAAATTTGTTTGTCCAAGGATAATTTGATGCAAAAATAGCTTTTGGTAAATATTTATCATTTTTATTTACAATATCGGTCACAAAAATGTACATTTCAGAATAAGAATACCCTTTTTTGTCGCATTCGGATTATTGACCACCCAAATCTTTTGTTAATTTTTAATATTGTTGATTTCACTTTTTGTTAATTTCACTTTTTGCGTATTTCCCCATATCTCGAGAACTTTTTAAGCGAATTAAGCTTTATTTCACACAATTATAAAATTCGTTTATCCAAAGATAATTTGATGCAAAAAATAGGTTTTGGTAAATATTTATAATTTTTATTTACAATATCGGTCGCAAAAATGTACTTTCTCAGAATAAAAATACCCATTTTTGACACATTCGGATTATTGATCCCCTAAACCTTTTGTTAATTTTTAATTTTGTTGATTTCACTTTTTGCGTACCATATCTCGAAAACTTTATAAGCGAATTAAGTTTCATTTTACACAATTATAAAATTCGTTTATCCAAAGATAATTTGATGCAAAAAATAGCTTTTGGTAAATATTTATCATTTTTATTTACAATATCGATCACAAAAATGTATTTTCTCAGAATAAAAATACCCTTTTTTGACGCATTCGGATTATTGACCACCCATACATTTTTTATTTTAAACTCTTTTTTTATCGGAACATGTTACGGAACGATAAATCTGATATACTGTATTGTGTGCAGTAATAATTATTGTAAAATCATAGAAAAACTGCAATTAAATAAATATTACTGCGGAAATTATGGTGTAGATTTCACTATTTATAATTTTTACATTAATAATTACAGATAAATCACTGAATCACTTTAATTAAATAAATATTACTGTAATAATTACAATATAATATTTTATGGTAAAATTAGATTTTACGATAATATGTATTTTACGGCTGATTTACCAAAAGTGCCGATACTTAATACCGTAATTTGATGAGGAATTTTTTAGCGTCTACAACCTTTCGGTGCCAAATTCAACCATTTTTAACTAAAAATTTATCATTCTTGATTATTATTCTATTATTCAACGCGAAAAAAAGCATGGTTAAATTTAAATTCGTTTTAAAATTTCAATAAATTTGCACGTTATTAATGTACAACGTTGCAGCGATCTGAAAATGCAGATCATTATCAACTTCATTCCGTTTTACTATCCTTTCTTACATCAAAATAAATTTTATGAACACTTCTAGAAGAATTCAAAAAAGAAAAGAAATTCCTCAATTGAAAAGATTTTTCGGCTTCCTTTCAGAAAAACCCAGACGATGTCTAAAATTTAATCTCATTTGATTTACAAAATATTCCCTATGTCCCCAAAGAAATGAAATACGCAATGTGATCTCCTCTTTTTTCAAAATACAAATAGAGCTGCATGGATTTAAATATACGACAGACTTTAACAAATGTTAACTTCAATCCAATCATTTTAAAATTCATGCCAAACATTGTTATAATAAAAAAAATATTATTTTTACATCTATTTTCTTAACAATAATAGTAAACAATCAAGTTTTCCTTTTTATTTTCGCATAGTATTAAAATTTTGATCAATTTCAATATTCATATCCAAATATAATATTAATATTGTAAACAAAAATGGATAAAACAACTAGTATATGAACATCAATTTTCCGAAATCTTCCAGCTTGTTGAGCATTCCATCTATTTTTATCCATGCACGCATTGCAAAAACACCTGGATTAAATTACGGTATAAAGTTCCGGCATCATCCGTTAAATCCATTTTACCATAAAATCAATTTTTACTGTAAAATCAGTTTTTATTATAAAATATTATACCGCAATTTTTACAGTAACATTTATTTAATTGATTATTAAGTGAATCAAAGATTTTACGGTAATTATTTTTGTAAATATCACGGTATATCTTATATTTTGTTCTATAACATGTTACTGTAGAAGTGGATTTTACGGTCAAAGTACGGGCATCCTGAGTTCCGGTACTTTTTGCTGTAATTTGATCAGGAATTCTTTACAGTGCACATGAATACAAGTGAATGCATGAACACATATAAATTAAATATAATACTCTTCTTATAAATTTATTTATACTTTTCGTATTTAAAGCATCACTTTTCAAAATATCAATGGATTCGATAATTAGTTTGTCATTTGTTTAAGAAGAGTTACAAGATGCAAAAATTTTAAAAAATTAAAATTTTTTTTCGTTTAAAAACTAATACGTTTAATTACCTTTAAATTAATGAAAAAGTTCAAGCCTTTATCTTAATTAGAAAGCGGGATAAGTCTTTGTTTTGTTTTTTCCCTTATTGAGCTAAAAGATTGAGGAAACTTTTAGGCTTTTTTTTCTTTTTTTTCCAATTTTAAAATAAGACATTTCGATACTTTAAAGGTAACTCTAGCAAAGGAAAGGGTAATACTTTGCGCAATGTAGACTAAATAAGAAAACAACGTTAATAAACTGCAAATGAAAAGACATAAATTGACATACTATAGTTTCAGTTCTATTAATCAGAGCCTTCCTCGGCGTCTGAAGGAAGGTTCTCGTGTGTGATCTTAAATATGCTAATTAATTAGTGCAGACGATATATGAAGTTACGAAATCAGACACAAAAGCGTAATTTTTCTGAATAAACATATCTTTTTGATCCCCCAAAATATAGGGGGTGCCTGCAATCTGGAAAATTTGGTCACAATGGTTTGGGAGATAGGTCAAAAGTTTTACCCCTTAATGTTAATTTTACTTTTTGCGTATTTCCCCATATCTCGAGAACTTTTTAAGCGAATTAAAAAAATTTTCGTGCACAATTATAAAATTCGTCCCTTCACGGATAATTCCATGAACAAAAATTACTTTTGGTAAATATTTATAATTTTTTATTATTTTATTTCATTGTAGTAAGAAATTGAATTGTAAGGCATGCAATTCTTTGCTCTATTTTAAAGAATATGAAAATACTAAATTTGAAATCACATGTGAAAATACTAAATTCGTGTGAAATTGGTTGAATAGTTCCTGAGAAATCAAATTTTAAAAAAAAATCGTGTTCCTTCAGACACCGAGGAAGGCTATTAATAGAACTGAAACTATAGTATGTCAATTTATGTATTTTCACTTGCGCTTTATTCACGTTGTTTTATTCTTTAGTCTGCATTGCGCAAAATATTACCTTTTCCTTCGCTGGAGTTACCTTTAAAGTTTTAAAATGTCTTTTTTTAAAATTGGAAAAAAAAGAAAAAAAAAAGCCAAAAAGTTTCCTCATCTCTTTTAGCTCAATATGGGAAAAAACAAATCAAAGACTTATCCTGCATTCTAATTAAGATAAAAACTTGCATTTTTTCATTAATTTAATGATAATTAAACGCATTAGTTTTCAAACAGTAAAAAAAAACCAAAATTTTTTAAAATTTTGCGTCTCGTAACTCTCTTTAAACAAATTAAAAACTAATTACCAAATCCATTGATATTTTGAAACAGTGATGCTGTAAATGCGAAGAGTATAAATAAATTTATAAGAAGAGNTTTCTCATAAATTAGGGTATAATATTTCACGATAAAAACGGATTTTACAGTACGGATTAAATACAAGCTTTTATCTTAATTAGAATGCTTTTATCTTAATTCGTCTTTGTTTTGTTTTTTCCCATATTGAGCTAAAACAAATGAGGAAACTTTTAGGCTTTTTTCTTACTTTTTTTCCAATCTTAAAATAAGACAATTTAAAACTTTAAAGGTAACTCCAGCAAAGGATAGGGTAATACTTTGCGCAATGTAGACTGAAAAAAAAGCGAAGTGAATAAAGCGCAAATGAAAATACATAAATTGACATACTATAGTTTCAGTTAAATTAATAAGAGCCTTCCTCAGTGTCTGAAGGAAGGTTCTCTTTAATAGAACTGAAACTATAGTATGTCAATTTATGTATTTTCATTTGTGCTTTATTCAGTTTCTTCTGCTTCAGTCTTAAAGGTAACTGCGTGAAATTAAAAAAAATATACATTTTACTTATTTTGTTTTAATACCGTTCTTGGAAATTCATAAAGCCTTTATTGATTTTATTTGATAATTTTGTAATAAAAAATAGATATGAAGCTATATTTTTGAAGTATTTTTCTTTTTCAAAAACTTACAGCAAAAGAAAGCGAAAATAAACTAAAGTGAGAACATTTTTGTTCAGAACAAAAAATAATATTTATATGAAATAGTTCCTTTCAGAGTACAATATTTTGAGCTATATCAAAAATTAAAAACATAGGCATTTTAAAAATTAATTTTTAAAAATAAAATTCCTGAAGATTTGATGTTTTTTATGTTTTTGTTATGCATCAAAATAAAAAAAAGCTCAAAACAAAACATACAGTTCCAAAATCTTTCAAAAATATATCCCAGAAAAAATTCTGTAAGGTAATTAACAACAGGGAAATAACACCAGAAGGTAAATCAACAAAATGCATAAAGAATGCAATGTTTTACAAGAAATTAACCGTTTTTAGCTTAAAAAAACAAGAAAAATTGCAAAACATACGTATTTTTTAAAATTAATCCTAAGTTAAAGGTAGCGAAAAAAAATTAGAAAAATATTAAAAGTACAGTGACTTCAAAATATATTCTTAATAGAAAACTCATATAATTGTTTTTTTAAACGAAAAAGATTCTAAAAATATTTTCTGTCATAGAAAATAGTTTAAAACAGACATTTTAGGTCAAAAATTTCATTCATGTAACTTTTTCTGACAACTTCAAATAAGATATGTCAGTTGACTTTTCGTGACACTTGGCCACGTGTAACGCCAGAGAAAATAATTCTACTTCCAAGATTTTGCTTGTCACTTCGAAGGAAATATAATTGTATAAGCTGTTTTTTTTCTTTTTATTACTGATAAAATAGTAAGCAATTATTCTTTCCTTTTGAGCTTGTGACTTCTGAAGAACTATATTTACATAAATTAGCCTTCTAAAAGTGATAAAATAGTAAATATTTGTTATTCTCTACAGAGATAATGATTCTATTTTACAGATTTTATTTGCGACTTCTAAAGAACTGTATGTGCATAGCCTGTTCTTCCCATAAGTGATAAAACAGTAAATATTTGTTCTTCTCTCTAGAAATAATGATTCTACTTCTCAAATCTTTCCTGCGAATTTTAAAAAACTCTATTTGTATAATGTATTTTTCCTATAAGTGATAAAACAGTAAATATTTGTTCTTTTCTCTAGAGATAGTGATTCCATTTTTCAGATTTTGCTTGCGACTTCCGAAGAATTATATTTGTATAATTTGGTTTTCCTTTCAGTGATAAAATAGTAAATATTTATCTTTCCCTTTAGAGATAATGATTCTACTTTCCAGATATTGCTTGCGACTTTTAAATAACTATATTTGTATAATCTGTTCTTCCTATAGGTAATAAAACAGTAAATATTTATCCTTCCCGCAAGAGGCAATGATTCTACTTCTCAGATTTCGCTAATGACTTAGTAATCTGTAAAGAGCTATAATATTGTGTAATCTGTAAAGAGCTATAATATTGTATAATCTGTTCTTCCTATAAGTGATACAATAGTAAACATTTATCCTTCCCTCAAGAGACAAATACTCTACTTCTCATTCTTTTGGAACTTCTAAAGAACTATATGTGCATAAAATGTTCATCCTATTAAGTGATAAAACAGTAAATATTTGTAATTCCTTCTAGAGATAATGATTCCTTACTTCCCAGATTTTGCTTGCAACTTTTAAAGAACTATATGTGTATAATCTGTTCTTTCTAAGTGATGAAACAGTAAATATTTTTCCCTCCCTCAAGAGATAATGATTCTGTTTTCCAGATTTTATTTGGGACTTGTAAAAAACTATATTCGTATAACCTGTTTCTTTTATTAGTAACAAAATACTGAACATTTATTCTTCCCTAAAGAGATAATGATTATGCTTCCCAGATATTGTTTGTCACTTCTTAAGTATTCTTATAATTGTATCTACTAAAACATTTCTTTTTTTATGCGAATTAAGTGATAACAAAAATGTAGAAAAATTTCCGGTAGACAATAATACTGTTCATCTTAACTCCATATTATGAATTATATCAATTTTGAAATATATTATGACTTAAAATGCTCCAAATTTTTAGCATTGAATGGGCTTATTATGACCTTTCTTACCTGCTCCTAAAAAGGAATGTAATAACTGATGGTTTAATAAAGAAGAATAAAATACGAATCCAATAAATTAAATTAAATCTAAGCCAATTTAAAGCAGATTTGGAAATTTATTCCTCTTATCTGTAATCATCACCCTACGCTTTTCATTTATTTTTAGAACAAGTTTAATTTCTTTTGAAACTTTTTTTCGTATCTTAATTTTAGATTTGTAATAATTCATTTGGACAATTATTTATCACATTTTGATAATATTTGTCGTCTTCTCTTTTAAATATGATTCAAGGTCTGAAGTAAAGTACGCCAAAAAATTTAAAAAAAAATCGTTCAAAAAGTTCAAAAATTTTTGGGCAATTTTTGGGCAATTTTTTTTAAATTTGCTTAAAATGTTCTCGAGATATGATAAGACGAAAGACGCAAATAGTAAAATTAACATTAAGGGGTCCAGACTTTGGATTTGGTCCAGAATTGGACCATATTTCCCAGATTACGGCTGACCAATATATTTTGGGGGTCAGAAATCCGAATCTGTAGAAAAAAAAGGTATATTTAATCAGAAAAAGTTCGTTTTTGTGTCTGATTTCTTAATCTGAAATACCGTTTGCACTTATTAATTAGCATATTTGAGTTCATCCCCTCTAGCCATTGAGTCCAAGAGCGTGAAGATTCGATCATTAGATCAAAAGTTATTCCCGGTGGACCGTTTTTTCTGCGCTCTATTCATAATTTCTCATAAATTAGTTTTGTAAAATGATCTGAAAGTGTAAATGCTCAAAAATCAAAGATGTGTTCACAAAATTAGAAATAATAAATTATTTTTTAAATGAGAAATGAAATAAAAAATTTAAAAGAAGTTTTATTTGTGTACATACGTCATAACGAATACACTGCAATTAACTTATTAATTAGATAAAATATTAAGAATACTGTACAGCATCTTCCCTAAAAAAACTGGTTTTAGTGATGCTAATCAATGATCTTGAAGGGGATTAAGATGCTTTTGATAGTGCTTTTAATTTTGATCTCATAAAACTACTAATTTAAGATTTTGAATGTGCAGTTACGATTGTTTTAATTTTGAGATAAATTTTAAAAAAAATATAAATGGTGGTGACAAGCAAATATCATATCGCTGGTTTAAAACTAAAACGCCACTTCTGCACTGACTTCTCATGTTACTTGAATGAGATGTGATTGCAGAAGTGTCGTTTTAGTTTTGAACCAGCGATATGAAATGAGGAACTGTAAATACAGAACATAATGTAGGCAAAGTATGTAAAAGGGTTTAGAGCGCAATAAATAAAAAATAAATAAATAAATAAATAAATAAATAAATAAATAAATAAATAAATAATGAATGGACCACCCTAAATGACTTTTGATCTAATGATTGGATCTTCATATTTTAGGACTCAATCGTAATGGTTCCAGTGTGTGACGTCAAATATGCTAATTAATTAGTGTAGACGATATATGAAGTTACGAAATCAGACACAAAAACGTAATTTCTCTGAATAAACACACCTTTTTTACTGATTCGGACTTTTGACCCCACCAAAATATAGGGGGTACCCGCAATCTGGAAAATTTAGTCCTAATGGTTTGGGAGAGGGGTCTAAAGTTTTACCTCTTAATGTCAATTTTACTTTTTGCGTATTTCACCATATCTCGAGAACTTTTTAAGCGAATTAAAATTTTTTTATGCACAATTATAAAATTCGTTCATTCACAGATAATTTCAAGCAAAAAATGACTTTTGGTAAATATTTATTATTTTTTTATTATTTTACTTCATTGTAGTAAAAAATTGAATTGTAAGGCGTGCAATTCCTTGCACTATTTTAAAGAATATAAGAATATTAAATTTGAAATTGCATGTGAAAATACTAAATTTGAGTGAAGTTGGTCAAATAGTTCCTGAGAAATCAATTTTTTTAAAAAAAATTGCGTTTTTAAAAAACGTAATAATTTTTTTTAAAGTTAAAAGTTCATTCAAACTTTGGACCGCTCTTCTGACCTAACTATTTGGACCATATTTCTTCCTGTATTTCGGAAGTTAGAAATCCGAATTAGTCGAAACAAAAGGTATAATTATTCAAAGAAAGTACGTTTGTATGTCTGATTTAAAAATATGGTCTTCACTAATTAATTAGTATACATGAGGTCATATCCTCGAATCATTAAGATTGAGTCCTAGAACGTGAAGATCCGATCATTAAATCAAAAGTACTGCACATTTACTACGGAGCTACATTTCATGTTAAATAAATTTAATCTTCAAATGGAGATTTAAGCCTAATTTCTTAGCTTTATCCTTTAATGGGCCATTTATTTCTAGTAAGGATACATTAAAATACTTTTTTGAATTTAGAAGAAAAAATTCATTTAGATTAGTTGATAAAATTAATTTGAATTTTAAATTCTTTTGTGGTAAGTAATTTTACTACTACCCAATAGATGTTATAAAAAAGTAAGAGACTTAATTACTTTCATTTCTTTTCATTTGTAAAATAAAATTTCATAAATACTCCAAACTGAAAAAGGAAGTATACGCTATTACTTATTTTACATTCTTTAAAAACGGACATCTTGTAACCAATTTTTTTCAATATTACTTCATCAGAGCTTAAGTTAATAGCAAATAGAATACCTAAGTTATAGTGGTGGTAAATATACTTACCACTGCCTTAGAAAAGGTTAGACAATTTAAAGCAAATTATTTAGAAATTCATGCGTTGTTTTCCTTTAAAACATATGCAGTTGTCGCCAAGACAATTTATTCTAAACTGGAACAATACTTCGACTTCGCTATCACATATATAGTTATTTCATAAGAAGCCTTCTAAAGTTCTTTCAAAATGCAAGCTGTATTTCCTTCCGTAGAATCCCTAAACGTTCTGAACAAAATAAGAAAATGTTTCGCGTCCATTAAACGATAAAGTTTGTGTTCAAGGATTGTCTAAATAAATGGTTAGAATAAAGCTTCCGCTCTCATTACAAATAATTGAAAATGCAAGAGTTCTATTTTGTTGAATCCTTAAAAGAATGTTTTACGAACAATTTTCTTTTACTTGGGTATTTCTTTCTTAGTACATTGATTGGTACACGCAAAATAAAAAAAAAGTAATCTAGCTGTTACACAAATTGCAGAGAAAGTCATACATTAAATTAGATATTATATATTTCCGTTTCGTTCAAAAGAATTTAAATATTTATTTTAACTGAAAATAGAATGATTTTAAAGTAGCAATAGTAAAATATGAAAGATGTTAAAGTATGGGACGAATTTAATAATAAATGGATGTTCCATCACTGCAATTAACAGCAAAATTTTTGGTATTCAAATTATTTTTTTGATAATTTTTCTGTTCGTTTGGATAATGGTTTATCGGAAATTCTGGTTTTTCAAAATTATAGTTCTTATTACCACACATTTAGTCAGAATACAGTAAATACATTTTAAGTAAAATTACCAGTAAATTAAAGAAATATTTTCGCGCCATGTGGTGAAGAGTTACGATCTAATTTCAAGAAATTCTTCAGAACGTATCATTCATTTTACCATTTATTTGGTAATTTTGAGAGTCTGATTAAGTACTATGCCTTTTATGAAATATAATGATATTGTTCATTTAAAATGGCAATGCATTTAAGTGGTTGATAAGAGTTAGATGGCGGTTAATTCATTCTTTTCCTAATGTATTTCTCTATGATAACAGAGACAAAAGGGCTTGAATGAGGCTTTCGAATGTTTGGTTTAAGTGTGTTAAAGATACTAAACTAGGAGAGATCAAGCGGCCTGTTTTGGAAATATTTTATGAGGATAGTGAGATTTACATACATGCGTGGGATTATGAATACAAAGAACGGCTTAAAAATTCTTGTCGATTGGAAGACCAGACTGGACAAGTTTGAGAAAAGAC